GAACGTAACCCTAATGTAGGGGTAGTCGCCGAATGGGCACGACAGCATAGTAAGTACGTAGCTACTATATACAGTAGATACCAGTTACAGCATCGTCCTTGGTCTGGAGATGATCGTTTTGGCCGATACGCTGGAATTATCAAAGAGTCTGATGCGCGCCCGTCAGCAAGCGTTCTATGGGGAGAAGGACGCACTAGGAGGCAGAGTCCATTAGGCGGCACTCGGAAGAGTGCTCCATCAGCGCGGGCATGATGTCATCCGTCCAGAGGTCCAACACCTGCCTCGCGATGACCGGGCCAAAGGAGAACTCGCCGTCGTCGGGAATAGTATACTCCATCAGTCGTTGTTGACTTGCCTGAGCAGGGTTGAGTATATGAGACCGTATGTAACGAAGTGGGCGTACCTTGTTATGTGGCTGTATTGGCTCTACATTGAACTTTTCGAGGCTCTCGATGACAGTCTGTACGCATTCCAACAGGTTCCTCCATGTCAACGGTCGGAAGAGAAGCAGCACTTCTGGTGTATACCCGTTCTGGTGGATGATCTTCATCTACTTGACGATCGTAGACTTGCCAGACTCGCCCGAGCCTAGTCGCGCGTCGGTATGGATGAGTATAGGAGCTATAAAATGCGTACCGAGTAACAAGATCTTGCATCCCCGTTTGAACTTCTTCCCATCCTCCTCAATCTGCTCGTATATCCTGTCCGGGCCGACCGCGCTTTCCCTCACGCTTCTGCGCACACGAAAAAAAGTTGCTCCTCTCTGTACGCTGTGCCCGTGTCAACACAACATTGAGTGGAGAAGAGAAGCAGAATTACGGTAGAAACGCATCTGTGCGGAGGACAGCATTGGCAACGACTTCACGGCGCTTTGCGAGGTTGCAAGGTTATACTCGCGAGCGTAGCGCGCGTCCAATGAGCATCACCAAGTGCACGTACGGCAGACACATCAGGTTACGTCTCATGAAATGGTCGCTCTATTGTGTGCTCTTGTATTACCAGATGAGGTTGGTCAGAGTCAAGGAAGGAGATCTCGATGCGGACTACAATGTGAGCTGCATATGGCCGCGCGGAACAGAACAAGGGCAGCCCACTCGATGTCTCGATCGGCGTTCTCGGGATTCTTCTCGTCTGTCTCATGTAGTAGAAGTAGCTAGGAGAAAGCATAAAGTATACAAATACATGACTGGCTCCGTGGAATTGTTCAACGGTCAACGTTGTTACGAAGCAAACGGTGCATGAGTTTGGCACCATCATAATGAGTGATCGTATACAACCATGCC